ATCTGCATACTTATTTCAAGCAAAGCTAAACCAAGAAGAATGCAAAAAATATAATTCCTGGCGTATCTTTAGGGGAAGGGCACCTATCGGCTCTAAAAACCCACCTGCAAGTGGTCTGCAGTGGCCTTCAAATTAATTACACTGCAGGATGTCAGTCCTTCACCAAAGAAAAAGTCTGGGGTGGGTATTAAAGCAGAACTTCAGTCCCCTCTCCCAGGTGGCTCTGCCTCTCCCTTGGGCACCATCATTATGGCACATGCTTGGATGTGCCCATGGGCTCTGCTGGCCTTCAGGTCCTGGCAGAGTCCATCGGCATATCTGCTCACACGTAGGTGATTTTCTGCGCATGAACAAAGACAGGAAAGGTTCCAGCCTCCCCTGTTAGCAGTCTTTGTGTATGCATGGGAAACCCTGTATGCAGATGGTGAGCTCTAAAGCCATAAGGCACATCTACGCATGACCAGCCAGTGGGGAGAACTTCTCACCTTAGCAAGAAATGTGGAAGTACTGCTCTGTAGCACAAATATATTAATGTACCAAGAAAAGAAAATTGTCCATTTGTAAGGAGAAGGAGGCAGGGCGGCACAACATTACCTTTAGAGCGAAGGTCCGCTTTAAGGAGAGCTTGGTACAAAAGTTCATATAACTCGGAGGTCCTTCTGAAACCTTTCTTGGTAAGAGCATGAAATACAAGTCAACGTGTTTCAGGTAAAAGGTCCCCCCCCATTCCTCAGGACCTGAGCAGTGAATGTTATTAGAATCACAATGAGATGCCATTGGAGATCTATTCTGGGGGTTGATTAAGACTGTCTGGATGAATAGTGAGGGATGTTATCTTTTTTCTCACTTGCATTCTGATACGTTCATGAACATTTTTCGACATTTTCAAATCTTAGCAGAAAATGAAATAAGAAGCATTAGTTCTGCAAATTACATCATAATGCAAAATATTCTTTAGCTATGTGATATGAACATAGCGTGCAATAGAGCAAAATGCGCACTTAGCATTTACATGCTGCTCTTATAGAAATGGTTTATGAGCCGCTTACAGGCAAAATTCCTTGTGTTCACTTCAACAAGCTCTTTGTTCTTCTTTGCTAAATCTTTTCCTAATTGATGCTTTGCTTTCATTTCAGCATTAAAGGACTACTAAAGCTAAAGAGGAAATAATCTCTTATGAAAAAATCATTAGCAGGAGGCAAAGGAAAATCAGCACAGGAAAACCGATGAGTTACCAGTAGAAACTAGATAAGCTGATCAGGCCAAAGGGCAGTTCCTGAGCTTTATCTTCCTTTGGGGGTCTTCAACTATACCATAGCAATAGGAAATAATTTAAACCAGGGTGGATGAAACCTAAAGCTGGATCACAGCTGAAATAGATATATGGGACCTGCTTTACCTGCCATAGGATTTGTAATTCTATTTAGCTAGGATTTTGATCCAGACGGCCCTACCTGACAGCTTAGCTAGGCCCTGACTTCACTTTTCTCCATTGCAGTTATAGTAAGTCATACAACTTGGTCACTAGCCCACCCAGGGGAGGACTGACAAGTCATGGGGCCCCCGGGCAATAGGGGCTCATGGGGCCCCTGTGTCCTTGCCCAAACTCAAAAAAGCCTATGAAAAAGATATCAGGGGCATCTCATGGGGCCCCCTACTGACCCCGGGGCCCTTGGGCAGTGCCCGAGTTTCCAAATGGTCAGTCCGCCCCTGAGCCCACCCCATTTTTGCAATACTTCTCATGTGGGTCACAGGAATGCACTTACTTGTGCTCTCCTGTAAATCAGCTGACATTGGGTTTAAGCCCTCTGTTAGCTGATGTCACAGAGCCGCTCTAGACTCTGGATGAAACCCGAAGCAATGTAGAGATCCACCTAGATGTCTTATAGGCAGCTGGCTCAGCCTTTCAGCTTGTCGCTGAGAACCTGAGCCAGTCGCTCTTATCTCCTCTCTAGCCCGGCACACCAGTGAGCGCTGGAGGGGCAGAGCAGAGAGCAATGACTCAGAGCGGACCTGAGAACTGAGCAATCAGCAGTCACTTGATTGCTCAGTTCTTGGGTTAGAGTCAGCGAGGGACAGCTGCAGTATCAGACTGATGCTGCAGCAGGTAGGTAAGTAGGTTTTTTTTTATATTCCCACACTTCTCCTATAAATATACAGGTAGTTTTTTGACCATCACCTAAATTGCATTGTCATGTGAATGTGGTTGAGACGTGGTGTCTCTACCAGCTTATCAGAAACCCTAATATTTTGTCATTCTCAAACCAGACCTATCCATTTGGGCTATCCAAACCTATCACTGAGAGGAATGTTTCCATAGAAAGCTTTGTGGTGGTCCTTTAATGCTATGAAAAACCTAACTCCTCCGTATTGTGACAGTATCCATTTTGTTTGGCAGTTCTGACAGACCCCAGTCTCTAGCAAACCAGTATTGCACAAAATGGCTGCCTTCATAATATGGTGTGAACAGGTCCTCTTTAAAGCTGAATAATTGCTACAAAAAAAGGTTTTTTTTTCTTTACAGATTTAGTTATCTTACCTGTAACAAAAAATGTCCTACGATGTTCAGGTTGCTGGATTGTGTAGAAATCTTCACTGTAGAGCTGCCCTGTCCTCTTCCTGCTGCTGCTGAACTTCTAACAGTGGTGTAATTTGGTTGTGTGCTGCCCTAGGCAAGAGTAAAATCTCCCCCCCAATATGGGAGGTGGAGAGAGAGAGAGAGATTCCAGCACTCACCCACCAGCCACCTGGGGAGCCATGATCAGGAAAGCCCTACATCTTCTTTCTACGGTGATCAGGGAAGGAGAGTCGGACACCCTCCAGCAGCCCACAGCCCGCACTGCTGTGCTTCACCTGCTCCCCATTCTCAGTCACCGGTTGCCAGGTGTGTCACTTCTGCCAAGGGGTGGCATTACCCCCCCTGAAAAAAGCCACCTTAGGCAAATGCCTTGTTTGCCTTGCTGTAAATACGCCCCTGACTTCCAGCACTGTGGAGATTATGAGCTTCAGGTTTCCATACTGAGCTGCACTAAAGATGATCCTTCAAGGGCACAGCCCCTGCTTTTCCTCCTACACTGAGCAAACGTCTTTCTCACATTGCCTGTAACACAATCTGTGAATGGGGGAGAGTCTGATCAGTCACAAAATTCTCTGCTCCATTCACTAATTGTAACAAGCAGTAAAATCTGCCAAAGAACATTTCTCAATGGAGAAGGGAGGAGAGGGCGTGATGAGGTAGTGTAGGAATTAGGCGCTGAGAGGAGATAATAGCCAAGTGGTATTATAAGACAAATTAATAAAATAAATGAATAAAAAACATATACATTCAGTCCATAAAGTCCATGGTATTAGCACTAGTGGTAGCAGCTCCCATAGAGTGAAGCAGACTCTGTAGAAACATAAGAAAGACACCAGGGGGTGCCAACCTAAGTGCAGTATATGTAAAAAGGTTTATTGATAAAATTAGCCAAATAGCTACTCACAAAGAGGAAATGTAATAAGACATTGATAATATGTCCTCAGGGGGGCCAGTGTAGGGGCTGATGGTGTGCAGTGATGCCCGGGTCCCAGGAGAGAGATGTGTGTGGTGGACTGTCGGCGGGTGTCAGCAGTGGACGCTGTGACAGGTGCCGTAACCAGCGTGGAACGCATGGAAGTCCGGAACCAGAGGGCAACCGATATGATAGCGAGGACGGGTCAGGTGATGAGTCAGGTGATGTGTTTCAAAGGTCTTAAGAAGGGCTGGAAGCTTTGAAATGCGTCACCTGGCTAATTTTATCAATAAACCTTTTTAAATATACTGCGCTTAGGTTGGCGCCCCCTTGTGTTTTTCTTCTGGGGGCATGATCAGATCATCTTTAGTGCAGCTGAGGCTGAAGTTCAGCAGCAGGAAGAGGACAGGGCAGCCCTGCGGTGTCCTTTTGCTGAGGACAGGGGCGGAAGCTTTGAAACGCGTCACCTGGCTAATTTTATCAACAAACATTTTTACATATACTGCACTTATTTTGGCGCCCCCTTGTGTTTTTCTTCTGGGGCCATGATCAGATCATCTTTAGTGCAGCTGAGCCGGAAGTTCAGCAGCAGGAAGAGGACAGGGCAGCCCTGCGATGTCCTCTTGCTGAGGACAGGGGCGGAAGCTTTGAAAAGCATCACCTGGCTAATTTTATCAACAAACCTTTTTACATATACTGCACTTATTTTGGCGCCTCCTTGTGTTTTTCTTCTGGGGGTGTGATCAGATCATCTTTAGTGCAGCTAAGCCTGAAGTTCAGCAGCAGGAAGAGGACAGGGCAGCCCTGCGGTGTCCTCTTCCTGAGGACAGGGGCAGAAGCATTGAAATGCGTCACCTGGCTAATTTTATCAACAAACCTTTTTACATATACTGCGCTTAGGTTGGCACCCCCTTGTGTTTTTTTTCTTCTGGGGGCGTGATCAGATCATCTTTAGTGCAGCTGAGACTGAAGTTCAGCAGCAGGAAGAGGACAGGGCAGCCCTGCGGTGTCCTCTTCCTGAGGACAGGGGCAGAAGCTTTGAAACGAGTCACCTGGCTAATTTTATCAACAAACCTTTTTACATATACTGCGCTTAGGTTGGCGCCCCCTTGTGTTTTTTCTTCTTGGGGCGTGATCAGATCATCTTTAGTGCAGCTGAGCCTGAAGTTCAGCAGCAGGAAGAGGCCAGGGCAGCCCTGCAGTGAATCTTTCTACACAATCCAGCAGGCTGCACATCGTGGGACATACTTCATTACAGGTAAACAATATATAAAAATGCTGTAGAGAAAAAAATGTTTTGTAGCCAAACTCCAGCCTATGTTTTTTTCTCTTGCTGTGCTTTCAGCCCTAGTTTATAAAAATACTATCTCAAATGCAACACATTTCTCCAAACACACACGGGAACCTATTAGCTGTGAGGACCGGTAGAAAAATCGTATTACACCTCAGGTAGCGAAGGACCTATGCTGTTTTCTTTTAATCCTAGACCATAACCCTGATCGTTTTCAGGTAACACTGGCAAACAACGGCAAAACGGCAGACTTCAACGCTGTTGTGGAGGAGACCCAGGAAGCGTAAGAGTTTGGAAAGCCCACCGCCGCAGCCTGTCTTCGTGAAGAGAGTCAACGTACAGTATGACATGACTATCTGACAACTACCATTACCCCACAATAATCTCTACTGCCACAGCAAAGAAATACCTTTTTTTGGGCCTCCATGTTTCGCAATATGCAAAAAGGGGAATACCAGATCAACGATCCATTTGGGGTGTCGAGAATGTATGAGTGAGCTCGTACCTCATTGTATGGACTCAGGTACCAAAAAAAAAATACAAAAATACAAAAACCTGCAGCCTTGGGAAGGGTTCTGTCTGCAGAACAGTGTTCACTACATTCCGTTCAATGGTTGATCTCCTACCAATGTCAGGATCTACATTCTTTCTTCATAGTATTACATAGCTCTTGTTACTCAGTGACCAGTATGTTTACACAGTGTGCACTACTGAGCTAGTGTATCTGCATATTATGTCATACGTCTCAATATTTCCAAATCATTATGTTCCGTTCCAAACTTAGCAAACCCTGCCTATAACCAATCAATAAGACCGATATTTCATCAGGGCCACGCCCATTTTAGCAAGCACAGCCCCCTAGGGGCTCAAACAATTAGTCTGTCTTGTGAAAATAGGGACTACTTATCTCAATAGGGAGTTCTATGTGTACTATAGAATAGAAACGTACTCCTTAATGGACAGTCTTCCTGGTGCACTATAAAATATTTACAATTTTAATATTTTTTTTATTTATTTAGTTTATCCTATATATATATATATATATATATATATATATAAAAAACAGCAATTATTGTCCATTTTTAGACACCGCTTAAAGAGTGCTACCTTAGCTGCCTAAATATTAATACGGATTTGTATATACATATGATCAATAACTTATCATTTATTTATATTTAAATCAATATTTTATTCCTATTTATTTTTATTAAGCTATTTAAAGTAATATTTTAGTTTCTTTGGGTATTAACATCAACTACTCAAAGCAAAATGTTTATATCTGCTTGTGTTTTCCAATAATTAAACCTTCATAGAAAAGGTTCTCATGGTTACTGAAGCACATATGTTGTAGGTTAAAGTGGAACTAAGCCTTCCTGTCATGAGATCTAAAGCCGGCCATACACGGGTCGAAATCCGAAATAATTTTCTTTTGAAAATCTTTTTTAAAATTTCTGTTCCAATTTCACACCATTAGTGTGTCTGAGAAACGGCCGATTTTTGTTTGACCAACGAATTTGAGTGATCGGGCATGTTGGAAATTTTTTGAAAAATGAACGAATTTTGAATCAATGATGGGAGAATCGTGAGGGAAATACAAACGAAAAAGAAATGAGCGTGAGCTGTGACCTGGAAAGAAAAGAAAATTTTTGGCCAAGAAAATTCTTTTCTGCAGCAACATGAGGTGAAATTGAAGGCTTGGTTGGTTGAATTTCGAAATCAATGGTGGCACCATCGAGTTACAAAACGCACAAAATTTCCGATTTTCTGCAGAAAATTAGTTCGAAATTAGACCCATGTATGGCCTGCATTAGTCTGTGTATGATCTTCCTTCAACTGCCATGATGCTGCACATGTGATCAGCTATGACACCAGCCATTTGATGGTTTGACAGTTTGGGTAAGAGCACAAGCAATGGGATGTTACATTCCCAGCATGTGTCGAGAATATAACTGTTTCTTGAAACTGTTAAATCGATTGGTTTCGTTTTTCTTTAAGGGACTTTGACCAATGAGGAAATGTTATTCCTGAAATGTTACTAAACCCAAGTCCCTTCATTCACTATATCTGGTCTCCCCGGACCCTGCATTTACTATATCTGGTCTCCCCGGACCCTGCATTCACTATATCTGGTCTCCCCGGACCCTGCATTCACTATATCTGCTCTCCCCAGACCCTGCATTCACTATATCTGGTCTCCCAGGACCCTGCATTTACTATATCTGGTCTCCCAGGTCCCTGCATTCACTATACCTGGTCTCCCCGGACCCTGCATTCTCTATATCTGGTCTCCCCGGACCCTGCTATATCTGGTCTCCTCACTCACTATATCTGGTCTCCTCGGTCCCTGCATTCACTATATCTGGTCTCCCCGGACCCTGCATTCACTATATCTGGTCTCCCTGGACCCTGCATTCACTATATCTGGTCTCCCACAGTACACACAACATGGAAATGCCATTATTTTAGTAAATATAAACTGCTAAATACCTTTTCTCATCAGCAGAGACCAGTCGTGTGACTCCTATCAGCAGAGCACTGGTTAAAGCTTGTAGGAGGAGTTTTCATTCACCACTGATTGTCCTATGAGGCAGCATAACCCCTGACCATTTGTCTGGACAGTGTTGATTGGCCCTGTGCTGATCATATGCACCCTCCCAAAGACAAAAAAACCTCTCTAGCAATACACACCAAATTGAGCATGCACAGCCCCAAGGCTCTGTTCTATCAGCAGATAGATTGGGGGCAGTAGAACAAGGGGAGGATCAGAGAAGACAGGATCAAACATCATTTTTACACAATGCAGAAGATTAACCCCTTAGATTCCACAGTGAGTATAACAAGCATGTTTTACTGCATCTACAGACTGATTTTACTGTTGTGGGTTTAGTAACACTTTAAAGTGGAGCTAAGCCCATCAGTTTAATGGTTTCCCAAAACAGTTACATTCTAGTCATGCCGTGAACATTAACTGTTACAGCTGCTTGTGCCTTAAACAGGACTGCAAACCCATCAAATGGTTGTTGTCATAACTAATAACATGTGCAGCACATGGCAACTGCAGAAAGAGACTAAGATGGCAGCTTCCTTGGCCATGAAGGATAGGAGGGTTTAGTTCCACTTTAAGTACTAATTCCTAGGAGGTAACCCACGGCGACCAGTTAGCATCCATCTTGTATTGATTTGACTGACTACATTTGGTTGCGGTGGGTCACTGCATTGGAGAATTAGCATGTATCTCTTGATTAGGATTATTAAGCACAAATGAACTGATGGAGAAAGTGTACAAATGAGTAACAGGCAAGTGTTTGAAAGAATAAATGCTTTTGGTGCCCATGGCAACTATAAGTACAAAAGGCAGTAGCTTCTTGGTTGCCATAGGCAACAAAGTCTGGTGTTGTTTCATTTTACTTTATTGCATGAGGCCAAGTATCTCTGTTGCCCATAGCAACTAGTTAGCTGAAGGTAGACAAGCTTTTTGTGCCCATGGCAACCAATCAGATCCTCTTTACATTGTTGCAGTAGAATTACAAAAGAAGGTAGCTTCTTGGTTACCATAGGCAACAAAAGTCTGTTGTTTATCAGTTTACTTGATTGCATGAGGCCCAGTACCCCTGTTGTCCATAGCAACTAGATAGTTGAAGGAATACAAGCTTTTTGTGCCCGTGGCAACCAATCAGAAGCTCCTCCCACAGTTGCATTATAAGTACAAAGGACAGTAGCTTCTTCTTTTCCATAGGCATGAGGCCCAGTACTTCTGTTGCCCATGGCAGCTGAATAGTTGAAGGAACGCAAGCTTTTTGTGTCCATGGCAACCGATTAGAAGGTCTTCCCATTGTTGAATTCAAAGTACAAAGGGCAGTAGCTTCTTAGTGACCATAGGCATGAGGCCAATTATCTATGTTGCCCATAGCAACTAGATAGTTGAAGAAAGACAAGCTTTTTGTGCCCATGGCAACCAATCAGATCCTCTTTACATTGTTGCAGTAGAAGTACAAAAGAAAGTCGCTTCTTGGTTACCATAGGCAACAAAAGTCTGTTGTTTTTCAGTTTACTTGATTGCATGAGGCCCAGTATCCCTGTTGTCCATAGCAACTAGATAGTTGAAGGAATACAAGCATTCTGTGCCCATAGCAACCAATCAGAAGCTCCTCCCACAGTTGCATTATAAGTGCAAAGGGCAGAAGCTTCTGCTTTTCCAAAGGCATGAGGCCCAGTACTTCTGTTGCCCATGGCAACAGAATAGTTGATGGAACGCAAACTGTTTGTGTCCATGACAACCAATTAGAAGGTCTTCGCATTGTTGAATTCAAAGTACAAAGGGCAGTAGCTTCTTAGTTACCATAGGCACGAGGCCAAGTATCTCTGTTGCCCATAGCAACTAGATAGTTGAAGGAAGACAAGCTTTTTGTGCCCATAGCAACCAATCAGAAGCTCCTCCCACAGCTGCATTAGAAGTACAAAGGGCAGTAGCTTCTTCTTTTCCATAGGCATGAGGCCCAGTACTTCTGTTGCCCATGGCCACTGAATAGTTGAAGCTTTTTGTGTCCATGGCAACCGATTAGAAGGTCTTTCCATTGTTGAATTCAAAGTACAAAGGGGAGTAGCTTCTTAGTTACCATAGGCATGAGGCCAAGTATCTCTGTTGCCCATAGCAACTAGATAGTTGAAGAAAGACAAGCTTTTTGTGCCCATAGCAACCAATCAGAAGTTCCTCCCACAGTTGCATTATAAGTACAAAGGGCAACCAATTAGAAGGTCTTCCCATTGTTGAATTAAAAGTACAAAGGGCAGTAGCTTCTTAGTTACCATAGGCATGAGGCCAATTATCTATGTTGCCCATAGCAACTAGATAGTTGAAGAAAGACAAGCTTTTTGTGCCCATGGCAACCAATCTTTACATTGTTGCAGTAGAAGTACAAAAGAAAGTCGCTTCTTGGTTACCATAGGCAACAAAAGTCTGTTGTTTTTCAGTTTACTTAATTGCATGAGGCCCAGTATCTCTGTTGCCCATAGCAACTAGATAGTTGAAGAATACAAGCTTTTTGTGCCCATGGCAACCAATCAGAAGCTCCTCCCACAGTTCCTAATTCTGTCCGCAGACAAATACTGAGGAGACCTCAAGGCATAAGCAGTACAACCATGGATATCAAACACAGTGTAGGAGATGGAGCTGCTCGTGCCGGTCTGTAGATGATAATAGTCAACGTATCATTCATCAGAAGCACAATTAGAAGTATTGTAGAGAACCTGCAGCAATCCCATCCCCACAGGCATCCCCGAGCACGCA